CCCCGGGCTCCTTCTTTGCCGGAAAGGGAAGGTGTAAGCGAGCCCCCCCCACCGGTAGCTGAGGGCCCCCCCCCCCGTCCCGTCTGCCTCCAGAAGCCAGGGGACTTAATTGCTTCCTTGCGCAGGATCTCTCCTGCCCCCTCCTCTCGCCCAGGCGAGGGGGGTCAGTGCGTAATAGAAACCAGGCTCCTGAGGAAAGCGAGATTTCTTCTCCGCCGTCGCCCCCACAGTCCGCCTCCCCTCGGAGTTCTTGGCCAGCTGTTTTCCTCCTGCTCGGGGGAGCGGAGCGGGTGAGCTTTGTGCTGCCCTCTGCCGATCAGCGCCCCGCATGAGGCGAGCTCGCTTTCCCTTTCCCTTGCCCAGCCTACGCTCCGGAGAAGCGGGCGGTGCAGATTCCCGTAAGTGAGACCCGTTTTCTTCCCCCGTGGTCGGATTTTCGCTACAATATAACTTTCTTGAAGTTTACGTGGTGCCCTTCCCGTTGGGGCTGAGACCGACGCGGCACTGGGGGAAAGTGAATCGGTACGCCTAGCGGGCCAGGAAGGACTGACCGCCAGCAGCAGCAGCACGTCCCCGCTCTCTCGCCGTTCCCTGCCCAAAAGCCCCAAGCAGGCATGGGATTTGAAGCGCCTCGAACGACACTCCTGCCATCGCGGGGTTGTTCTCCGAGAAACCACGACATAGCTGATTAGATTAGCCTGAGATCTTTTCCAGACCCGCCCTCAAAAGCGCCCTTTCACACCCCTCTCCTTTGAGCTGCCAGACTGGCGCGCGACCACGTGCCTCGTCCGCTCGGGTTGGAGGTGACGTCCCCTCTCAGCCACGCCAGCTTTGGGAGGCGGGAGGGGGCTGCGCATTATTCCTCGGCTGGGAGAGCGGGTGAGTCGCTGGCGCGCGCGCTTGGGACACTGGGTGGCTGGGGCGAGCTTCTGCCTGCCTCCGCTCCCTCCTCCGCCTGGGAGCCCCCCGCCCTGGCGTCAGGGAAAGCCGGAACAACTGGCAGGTTATTCTGGACGGGGCCAACCGATTGCCAAGAATTTCGGAATTCTGCAAGAGAGTTCGAGAGGGGGATAATTTATTGCGCGCGCGCACACACCATTCCACCTTTAAACTGATGTATAAACGTTTGGGTTCCGTTGCCTGCGGCTGCAGGGGCCGAAGAGGGCTGGACCTGAGAACCTAGGAAGTAGCTATCGCTTGTCGGAGCTGAACTTTTCTGCTACTAACTCATGAGAGCTTTAGATGCGATGATTTGCAAAATCTAAATAATATTCTTTCCTTACTTTTTGTAGCCCCTTTGAGGCAGGGACTTATTGTTGCACTCTGCAAAGCCTCAGGTACATCAGCAATGCTATATACATTTTAAATATATATAAAAATCAGGTTTGGCACATAATTTAGGGTCTTTCAGTTCAGAATGTGGGTGGTAGTGTATAAATACAGCCACAGTGATCATGGTTATATCAATCTGCAGAGATTGGGGTCAAAAGGGTTAATATTCCCCTCTGTTTTCTCAGGTGCGTTTATGAAAACTCCTGCTCTGATTTAGGTGGTTTTGCTGCTGCGCTCCAAAATATTTTACTAATGTTTAGTAAAGCCAGCACTTCCTAGAACTTCTTGCTCTGTGGATATCTGGATAGCACTGCCTCCATCCTAGTTAAGATGCAAGTCCAGTTCTTCATTATGTGGCTCCCAGGAAAATAATCCAATGATTTCCGGCAAGTTGGGAAATCCTGCAAGATTGTTAATATGGGCAAATTAGTTTAAATATTATTTAAATGTGTGAACAGCTTGCAAGCATCAACAAAGAAGACATGTTAAAAAGTGGATTAAATTGGGAGGAAGAAGTGTTGCCCGTAGAAGCTGTTGGACTTCAACCCCGATCAGCCCATTTGGAATTATGGAAATTGTAGTCCTACAACATCTGTAGGATAACAGACTTTGCTCCTCTAAAGTAAATGAAACTGAAATGTGAAAAACAAAATGGTCATGTGATTCACGTTCTCTTAACTTTTTTATAGATGGTGATTCGATTTAGTGACAGACACTAAGAACACTTAAGCAACTCCTTTTCTGTATTATTTGTTCTGACATACCTTTTATTTCTCAAATGACCTTAGTTTTCCTGTGTCAGATTCTCCCTTGGCAGTAAACTTTCCAAATAGAAGAATAAAAATGGGAAATGCCCACTCTTGGTAGAAAATGCTATACAGTAGATTTTCCTATTTATTTGTACCAAAGTTGAAAGAAGAACCGCAGTATTTGGGTTTTCTATACTGCCCAGTCTGCAGCAATAATTTTGACTCTTTCCATCTCTTGTTCTGTTGTAACAAATGTCTGAGGGTCTTTCAGAAAAGCTTTGCTCTGATTTGTTCTGCTGACCCCTAATGCGAAATGCTGTTCTTTCAGGGCTGCCTACTAAGTTCAGACAGGAGCAGTGGTGTGTTATAGGGGGTAATATCAGAAAACAAGGTCGTCATGTTGCCTCTGGCCACTTGTAAATCGGGCCAGATTTACTATCTGCCTGTAGTCCCTATGTCTCCCTAGTACTAATTAACTACAGTGCTCCCCCAGTGCCAGCCACTGCTTAGCACCTCGTGCTTGTTTGTAGCAGGGTTAACTTTGTGCTAGCATGTGTTTCTTAGGGCAAATCTCTTCCCTCTTGTACCTTACACATTCTGGCACAATCAGATTTATACTACTTTCAATGTAATTAAATGTAACTAAACTATGATTACTAAGCCTAAGGAACAACAGGGAATTGAGAAATTGTAGTTCTGATGGAAAAAGCTGATCACTTAGGAACATCAGACTTCGCTAAGGGTCATGTAAGGATTTTGGTTTGGCAAAACTTTAGTGGTATAAATTTGTAGAGAGATGTGGAAATTTTGTGTAATTAAAAGGCAGCAGCTGGGATCCATTTTATGCAATTCTTGTAACTGGGTTCAGCTTGATGTACCATCCCAGCTTATATTGTGGGGGTTGGTTCTGCTGATCTAGCAAAATGGCTATAAGAGATTGAATTATGAACGAGGAAGTAATTTATTCAAATCTGAGTTCAGTCACAAATTTAGGAGGTAATTTGAACCAAGTCTCCTCTCTCAGTATGGAAATAGTAATATATTTGAGGAGATATTGTAAGATTTGCCAAGGTGTTCCATAGGTATTCTTGTGTGGAGAAAAACGACTGGAAGACTATTGCCTATCCAGGAGCTTCGGGATGGCGTGCCACCATTGTTCCTTCTATTCCCAGGTGTCCTGGGCCACATTAACTACTGAGCTTCCTTAAAGGCCAGTCAAGGTCCTCTGGCATGAAATGTGTTTTTCAAGGCTGGTTGCTGTTTGGGATGGTACGACCTTGGAATGCGGGAGGATATCATAAACAGTGGAATTGGCTGCTGTCCACTCGCCTCAACTTATCTGGTGGGAAGAACCTGAGTC